GAGAAGTAAGAATTTAAGAAAAAGGACTTTTTTATGTTCTGCATCCTCACATAGTTTTTCAAAAACAACATTGAATTTGTAGAATGACGACCAATAGAGAGTGCCTGGTTATCAAAGAAGTTATTTTTGACCCTTCTCTGTTGAATTTCTCTCGAAAACATCATGATATAGAGCTGAAAAATTTTAGCATAGTCTCTGTATGACAGTCTCAATATATTCTCAAAATTTCATGCAACTTGAATGCTCTTAAACTAAAAGCGTTTTTCGAGAGCAATGATAGTTTAAAGACTTATTTCTTAGCATTAAACTAGAGATATTAATTCTTTGGTTCGCAAATCAAAAATAAGACATAAACATATTTGTGAAGCAGAATGATGAAAGTTTAGTCTTGTCATTACATAATTCAATAATCATTCATAAACATATTTTACAAAAAAATAAACAAGTTAGTTCGTTGAAAAACCTGAAAGAAATTTGAAATTTCAAAATCGATTTGTCCACACTTTGTTTAGTGAGTTCCATATTTAAAATTTTTTTTCCAGAACTATTGTGCACACACCTTTCTGAAAAAGTTAAATTGAATTGACTAAAACAAGAAGAAATCAACAATCAAATTGTTATTTACATTCAAAAACTCAGTCAATAGAATCACTTTTCTAGCTATATACTTCAATACTCACTTCCCATTGTACTGCAAAAAAAAAACAAATTTTATATTCCATTGAAAAAATAAATAGGAATCAATTTAAACCAGTTTTTTATATATTCTCCATACGATCCATTACAACACAACTAAACATGTGAATCTCTTTCAAAAAAATACTCAAAAACTAACAATCAATACACAAAAATACATAAAAGAATGTTTCTACTTATTAGTCTATCAGATGTGGATGAAGAGAAGAGTCACATCTACCATCACACCCTCCCAGAGCAACTTCAATATAATTTCAATTATAAGTACTTTGGAGCACAGAAATTCAAAGTACCTTCAGAAAATCTAAGCGTCCAAAACGGAATACTATTCAGAAGTTTCTTCAAACAATGCGTCACAAAAACGAAATTTCAGTAATTACTGCGCAAGTATTTGCAAAATTTCAATAGATACGGAAATTACTAATCATTAATTTCCTATAAATATGAATGTAGTTTCATATGAAGAAAAAAATCCTTTTTGCCTTAAAATATTGTAAATTTCTGAAGTTGCTCAGTAATTACAAATATTAGCGATATCTTTAAGGTAGCGTATTTTTTGTTTCATTAAAAACTGTATTACAGTAATGTCTTTGTGTAATGAGTCAAGTAATTTCTGTATTTATTGAAATTAATATCGTAATTTCATACTAATTAGTCAAAACAGGGCTACGTTGGGGAAGGAGTATGTTTTAGGTGTATTGACATTTTCATAATTTTTTCATTAATTTTTATATAGTTTGTTGTTATTTTTCGACAATACCTGGAAATATGCTTTTTTGGGTTTAGTAATTATCGAAATCACCAGGGCAATAACTCACTGATGACTCATTCATTTCATAATTAATCGAGAAAATTCTTAGCACTATTGAAAAAATTTACGTAATTTCTGCTTAATTTGTGTTCGTTTTGATGATAAGGTTCCAATATACCTCATCATTGAAGTTAAATACCGTTGTTACGTTATAAATGATGGAAGTAAAAGGCATAGTTTAGTTCCAGGAACAGCCTAAATATAGATATAATTACACACATAGCTAAATTTTTCTTGTTACGTCTATGTAGATAAAAGTTGAAACTGAGAACAACGCATTATACTAAGTTTCATTTGATAGAACATTGATGAGTGTATTACACAGCCAGTCTGCTATTGAGACTTCGACAAGTGTTTTATTCGTGCCATTAATGAAATTTTTAAAAAGTATGCAAATTTAAGCGTGCACTTAATTTTGATCTCAAATATAAAATTTTCATGTAGAAAAATATTTCTGAGAAATCCAGGCTGCTTAAAAAACCTTTCATAGGATATACACCCCTGGGCAAAAGTCTTTCTCCCCACCTCTTTTTTCAGCGAGGCTTTTTCTACTATTATAAGGACAAAACATGGTGTTGTTCGGGCCGATTAGGGATTATTAGGGTCCTCTTTTATATAGCCCGAACAACACCATGTTTTGTCCCTAAAATAGCAGAGAAAACCTTGCCGAAAAAAAGAGGTGGGGGGGGGGGGAGGAGTTTTGCCCAGGGGTGTAGATATGCATAAGACTTTTCACATCGCCCATACCTTGCAATTGTATCACCAATAAAAATGAAACAGATCAAATGGATTTGACCTGAATTTTGTTTTAATTAGTACACTAAAATACTTAAGACTATCATCTATAATCTAATGAAAAACAATTTATTCTAGCTGATCTAGCTTCTGACAAATACACATAATAAAATATTATAACTTACTAATGGCATGAATGTAACAGCTACTGAATATCAGCATGTTGGATATAACCGATTATGACGTAAACAAGTATATGGAAATGAGTATACCTGTGTAACTCGTAGGGAACTGCAAAGTGGTCCCGGTCCCGGTCCCGGTCCCGGTCCCGCCGGGACCGGGACCGGGACCGGGACCAAATTTTGACTTTTTTGCGGGACCGGGACCGGGACCGGGACTAAAAATTTTGCATACTGGTCCCGGTCAGTTTTTTATGCAATGTGTCGCCATTTATTTTATTTTTTTGACAATAGTAATGGCGACTCAGTATAAATAATCAATTCGATAATAAATCCCTTAGCTAGAGCAGTAGATATAAGAGAAGAGAGAAATGAGTAGATGACTACTACGAAGAACATGAGAATTTTTAACAAAATTCAATGGTTATTTTTATTTATTCGAGTTTTCAATGAAATTCTTTCACTTTAACACTGGATATAAAAACAATTCTCGTAATGTTAACGAATCAAAATTATTCATGTCAATTTAATGTATTCATAAAAGTACATAGATCGTTAAAAAATTGTTCGATTTTAGGAATGAAGCCAATGTCAAAGACCGGGACCGGGACCGGGACTGGAAAAAAATTTGACCGGGACCGGGACCGGGACCGGGACTAAAAAAAAATATATGACCGGGACCGGGACCGGGACCGGGACTAAAAAAAGTGATTTTGCAGTTCCCTAGTAACTCGTCAGCAAAGAGCGACGAATCATTGATGCATAATTGAATGACAAGCGTGCATGTGTTTGATGAAGAGAAGGAGAAAAGATAAGATGACTCACTCATTTTACATTGGAAAGGTCAAGTTGATAACAGCCTGATGTAGGTTTTTTTCCATTTTTCTTTTCTTCTTGCGTAATGATATCAAAAGAAAATACCCATTAAGTGTATATGTATATATATATATATATATATATAAGAAGAATACTATCTAATATAGATGTAAACTGAGCTCTCTCAAGAGTGTCTCTAACTAAGTTACCATTCAGTAGTACGATAAGTAGTTCTTCACAAAATATCATACATGATTTTTTTTATATATTCAATCATTAGAATAACATGCTGAAATGTCTTAATGAAATGAACTAAGTGTTCTCATCTATTTTTTGATTTTATTTAACATGCGCCATATTTCATCGTTTTTGAACGTTGGAACACAAATATTTTATTAATAATTATTGACAATAAATGACATCATCTTTTGTAGATTTCATTCATACATTATGATTTATGTTTAGATTAATATTTTTTAGCTTAACTATTTATTCTATCAACCAATATATTCTGTAAATTGAAGGTAGGTACAATTAATTTTTCGTTCATTAAAGCATGACTTATTCCTACTATTACTTTCAGAAATTGCGCGAGTATCTCATACCTCAGCGGAGAAGAAGGTCGTAATAGGAGGTATGTCTCATAGAGGTAGTAAAAAAATCGGAAATTTTGATAATTTTATTGAGTCATGAATAATTTTCAATTATTAGAAGAGAGAGGAAGTGTGTAAAAGCCCTCCGCTTTTACACTCGGGTTATTTTTGTTAAGTTCGTTGATTATTTTTATGAGAGTAATTAACCTTTGTATGCAGAACACTTTACATGTTGGAACTATCCAGATAGGAAATGAGTGATCTACTTCCGATTTCAGTCAAAAATAGGAAGTCTCATTACCTATAAATATAGGTTACATATAATGTACTTGCGAAGTCGGATGTCTGTTATCTCAACACGCAGTCGGACTCTCACCCTGTGATTGATTCCTAAAATCAGTCTCGGATATTCTTATTTATTGTTAAGTTCATCCGAAGATAGCCTGACAAGTACCCAAGATGAAAACAAACCACGAATTTATCAGATCCATATTCACTGATTATGAAAAATATGACAAACATATATGTGAAATACTAGATGTGCATTATACTGAGATAATGTTCAACACATATCTTGCGGATTGTCTCAAAACTAATATACACTATTTATCTGGCTTTTGTAATTAACGAATACTCTAGAATAAAATGTATCAACTCTCTTTGAATAATATCACACTTTTTCACAATGAACTCAATCCGTCCGTGCATATAAATCAATGTATCTCGAGCCTTCTTTTTTTTATATCTTATTTATCTAGTAAGGGTATGAATGTATATATTAGTGAAGAGAAGACCCATCCAAACACGCAGTTGTAACCAAAACCTCACATCCCACAAATAGTCGATAGTGGTTCTGAAACAATTAACGACATATATCTCGAATATTATCTCATTATCATACATATCTAGCATTTTACATAGACGTTTATCATAGTTTTCACGATCAGGGGTATTAATCTGATAAATTCATATTATATTTTTGTCTTCAATGTTTTTCAGAGTATTTTCGGATAAAACTAATAACAAAAAAAGAAAATTTGAAACTGGTTCAAAGAGAATACTATTGATTTCATAGATTAACTCATATATTCATATAAATTTATCGATTAACTGATGTTGTTATGATTTGTATAATAAAAAGGAATCATTTGCTTCTATCTTAGAATTACAATGTGTGGTGACCGTGAGCAAAACTCAAAACTACTACAATGTTTATCAATCCCACAAGTGAGTGACGCTTAATTATTAATGAATTGAAACTTATCATTTGTAAAATTATATTTTTGTTTTGTCTTTGCAGCATCCTAATAGACTAGTTGGTTTCAATGCAAAAAACATGGATTCTCTAGTCAGATATATTTGTTGTATATGTAATTTTTTATTACGAAACCCGGTTCAATTAATATGTGGACATCGCTGCTGTCAATCATGTAGTAGTGGTGACGGAAGGTAAGCATAGTTTTATTTCATGTTTTTAAAATTTCTAATTAGTAATTGATTTGAACTAAGTTTTTGTTTTTCATTTAATGTTCTAGTTTTCAATGCAACGTATGTAATGAAGTTACATCACGAGATACAGTAAGATAAATTTTAGTTATTTTTATCTATTTTCACAATTTTATTTTGATTTAAAGATAATGCTTGACAAAGGTTGTCAACTTGATATGGAAAAATTAAATATTACTTGTTCATTTTGCGATTGGAATGGTATATTTAAAGACTATCAAGTAATATTATTTGATATGTTTTTTTTTTCTATTAACTATTATTGAATTTTTTTCTTTCGCTATTCTTCAGAAACATTTAGACATAGTTCACTTGAATCCCTTTTGTGAGCATTGTGGTAAAGAGTTCAAAACAGTCAATGATCTTTCTCAACATATATCTGCCTGTGAGAAATATTGTGTCAATTGTATCCTCCAACCATATGGATGTAATGAAAAGGTTTTGAAGAAATTTTTATTTTAAACTTATTGCTTATTAACGATTCTATTTTCCATTTTTTAGTTTCTTCGTATAAATGCACGTGATCATTTTATAAGTGAACAACATCAAAGTGCTTTACTTCGATATATTTGTAAAAATATTCCAGATACAATGGTTAATCAATCATTTGTATCTTCCATTACAACAATAATCCCTGATAGAGAAACTGATGAGAATCTTCATGGAAATCTTCAACAATTATTTGAAACAACGGATATTCTCTCTGGTGGTATTAATGTGTTAAATGATGATATTCAACGTCTCTATTCAGAGTCACTTCATCATCAAACTTCACTACGATCCTTGTCAGAAGAGTCATCAAAATTAAAAATTGCTATTGAAGAAACACATTCATCAATAGATGCTCATCAAATCAATCAAAAAATACTTGAGGAAAGTCTCAATTCACTTCGACAACAAGTTGAAGATCAAAAGAATAGTTTCACTGATGGCAAACTTATATGGAAAATTACAAATGTTCAACAAAAAATAGGTGTGTTAAAATATAATATCGGATTTTTCATTTCTATGTTTTTTTTTCTTCAAACTTTTTAGCCGATGCTCAATGTGAGCGACAAGTATCTATTTATTCTCCTATATTCTATTCGTCACCGAATGGTTATAAAATGCGACTTCGTCTCTATTTGGCTGGTGATGGTAATGCTAGACGTACTCATATGTCTCTTTTCTTTGTACTTATGCGTGGAGAATATGATGCTATACTTGAATTTCCATTCAAATTCAAAGTGACATTTTGTCTAATTGATCAAACATCTCAACAACGACATATTATCGATTCATTTCGTCCGGATGTAAAATCAAATAGTTTTCAAAGACCTCGATCAGATATGAACATAGCTTCTGGCATACCGAAATTTGTGCCCCTAACAACGATTCAACAAGATAACAATCTCTATGTTCGCGATGATACTATGTTTATCAAAGCTATGGTTGATTTTGATAACATACCAAAATCCTTGGTACCGTATACATTAAATGTTAATCCGGGTTTACCCATTCTAATTCAACAAGAATGGATCAAACGTGAACTTGAAAAACAGGCACAAGAAAAATTATTAAATACAACTCACCCATCTATATCTATGACCACGACATGAATACGATTGAAAATAGAAATAATGGCTAACTGACAATGTACGGACTCATTAAAATTGTTTTTTTTTGTTGCAATACTTTTGTTACTACGTCCATTATAAACAAGACGTTGATGTAAAAGTTGTTTTTTTTTTAATTCAAATTTGAAGAATCACAAACTCGACAGAATGCATTATACTCAAGATATGTAAGAATTGAATCAGTTGACAGCAAAATACTTTTTGGGATATCCTGCTGAAAGTTCTCACGACGCACGGGTGCGAAGTCGACTTTTGTTTTATCAATATTTGATAACTTGTATGTACATGAATGTGTAAAAGATCCACTTTTTAACTGTGTATGGGTATTCTCAGAAAAAAAGTCAATGCAAAATTATTTCTTGTAGCTCACGTTTCCATCATTCGACGCTAAGTAAATAAAAAGCGGTCGCTTCATTGATTAGAGTCTCTTGTTAATCGTTAGGATATTGAAAAAATTAGTTGATAAATGAAATTTGCCTTTGAAGAGTGTGAATTATGGATGGTGATGAAGAAAAAATACAGTGGTACGCATACTTACGTCCACCTTCTGTGTTGTAGCATACTCAATAAGTGTATGAAATAGTGTGTGCGTATGCAGAAGATTCATCTTCTGCTTTTTTCTGAATATTACACTTGTTTTTATTCTCCTTATAACCAATCAGCACAGATTTTTTCAAAAGAATGAAGTGTTCACTGTGAAAGCTCGACTTTGAACGATTCTCATGAGGTGAAGCACTTGGTTTTTTTCCTTTTTACAAAACAGCAGGTACATTTTCAAAGTTGCATACTACCATATTCAAATGGATTGGCTTCGATTTCCCATGCACAAATCCTTTTTTTTCGAGTATCACCGCTATCTCGTCATAAAATGTCGTGGCTATAAATGACAAGAGAGCAAATAGGCATATATGCAACTCTCTCATAATGAAAAAAGTATATGATGCGATGACGATATCGTTGTATAGACTTTGAAGTGTCGCAATTCATTGTAGAGAAGAACTTTGTCATATTCAGTGAGTATTTTGCGAGAGAAAAATCACGTCATGTCCTTTCAGCAACAGATACAAAAAGAAAGCGAAAGATTCCATACTCTATACGATCGTTTATTTGATACACAATGGAGCGAAGCTGCGCTACCGGAAGCACATGCTCAATTGGCAGTCTGTGAAAATCAAGCTCGTCTCACGCAAGACAATATTGATGCATTTAATGCGGCAGCTGACAAGGAGTACGAACGTTTAGTCGACATTAAAGGACATGGTGTTAGACATGCCTGGTACAAGATTCAAGGTAAGTTGGAACAACGTTTAGACGAACAAGAGATGACATGGTTGCGAGATTTTGAAAAAAGTAAAGAAGAAGAACAACGTTTATCTCTTCTGAAAAAAGAAATCAAGTTAGCTCAGGCATATTTGCAACAATGTCAAGATGCTTATGAAGAATATACAAAAACTAAAAAAGAACTTGATGAATTATTAGAATATATTTTTTCTGGTATTACACAATCTTATCCCGAGGAAGATATAACGGAACAAAATCTAAAAAAGGAAGAAGAACATTTATCTAACCTACAGAATAATCACCGTGTTTTAACTCGCGTCATTTACTTCCTGGAAAAAGCTCATCAAGCCATCAGCGTCTCTTGTCTGGCACTCGACGAAGCGCTGAACATGAATACCTTCGACTTATGTTCTGATAGTTCATTTGCCGACATGGCAGCAGGTTCCTATTTGGCTCAAGCTAGAAATGCCTCAGCAGAAGCACAACAATTCATAAATGAAGCCCGACATATTTATCCAAATATGCCAAATATTGATGATCTATACATAAAACAGGACAATCTTGTTTTTAATATCCTGCTTGATGAAGTTATGAGCAATACAAATATGAAACGAATGATTCAAGAATCATTAGATTGTATCTCTAAAGCGGATGCAGCTGTAATGTGTGTCTTATTCGAAATCAAGGAAAAGTTGAACGAATGTGAAGCTGATCGAGAGATGACAAGCAGAAATGTAAAACGACTAGCGGCTGAACATTTTAGAGCTCGAATCGCAATTGCACGACAAATTATATAACTATTACTTCCATATCCACGCATGTGACATAATGAAATGACTAAGATTATGACTACTGTTTTATCGTTTGATTCTCATATATTTGTGATATAGAATTAAACTTCGCGTGAATTTATGTAGTTTATTTATTTTTCTTTTGGAACTAGATCACTGATTCGATTTGTACGTTGTTAATTTACCTTTGTTCAACTCTAGCTTAAACTATGATATGACTATGAGTTTTAGCATACTTGTCATATAAAAAATAGCCTTCGCAATATAACAAACGAAAGCTTATCTTTTTTCAAACTTGTTGTGAACAAAAACAAACTTGTCAGGACAATTTTTAGCTGTGTTAAAATGTGGAACCTACGTTCTTAGAAGTACTGAGCAAATTTTACAATGATAAAAATCTCCTAGAAAGGGTGTGGGTGCGACAAGGTGGGTCTGAAAAGCTTCAGCCAAAAAAAGCAATTCATAAGGGTGGGGTGTGTGTGAAGAAAAGACTGATATCCATACTCATACCTGCACTCACACTCGGTCGAACAGTGATTTGACATATGAATTTGTTTTCCTGTGAGCGTTCTGGATCTTTTTCTCTTCTTAGTCACATGTTCTGAAGCTAGTTTTTTCTTTTTTCTCCTCTCAGTTTCTTTGTATCCTCATCGATTCTCGAATTCATTACGATCAGCCTTTTCTGCCTCTTATTTTGTACATTTCAAATAAATTATTCTACAATTCAGTAGATTTTCTGAGGATCCACCAGGACTCGAGGATCTAGATTCCGCTTTGTTCTCTTTGTTTCTTTCGGCTTCGTGCATGAGTACGAAACCTGAAAAGTTTTCGACGTATAGTTTCAATTCTGAAAAACCTTTTTTTTTCAGTGTGTTCAAAAATGCAAACTGTATTCAGAAGAATAGATGTTTTGCCAAAGTTAGAAAAGTTTCTTCCGTAGTGAGATATGAAGAACTTTTATTGACTTTGCATACAAAAGCTTTCGTACGAAGACTTTCCTACTAATCGTCAGATCAGTCTTATTAGACGAGGTGATTTCCCAATCAAGTATTGCTCCTGTGGATGTAGATGTCAGTGTAAGTATTAATATGCTCTTAACACATCGCTCTACATCTAAATTCACTCGGAATATTCGAAGTCACTGCTAACTTAATTTATATAAAGTTACTTATCAAACACTAACTATTATTCACTAGCATACTTCTCTTATCTATTGTTTCTATAGTAATATTAAGAAAACTTTTTCACTGCTATGTATCGAATCTGAACAAAATTAGTTTGCTCTTGCTCCTAATGATAATTATTTCATCTTTACTTTTTCTTTTTTGCTCTCTTTCAATTATTTTTTGGAGCATTTTACTAGATTGAAGCAATCTATTAAATGAAACAAAGCTTCTACATGGTCGACAGAGTTTATCAATGGAACAATTACTTTGAGACTGCTCTATTAAATATTCACAAAGAATTATTTTTCTTTTATGTTCTAGGAGAAGCGAAAAACAAAAAAACAAGCTCATAACCCTAGTCAAAGTGCTCAGAGGATAGAACTCATGGGTTTTGAGTACTAGCCGTGTAATATTGAGTGCTTTGGTAGTACTACTATCTAATTTTGTGTACTCCGCTGGTCTAGGCAAATACTCATAAGCGTATTTTTGGGTTAGTACTGTTGTACTACATTAATTTTTATTTAATATCAAATTTATAACAAAAAACACAGGCACACGCGATAGTAGTTTGAGAAAAATAATCAAAATAAGAAATACAAGTATGACATCATTTTCATACATTTTAACACAAAGAATAGGGACATAGAAATTTTCATCATTAGGAAAGAAAGTTAAATATTTTCTGTATTTTAATACAATAAAAACACGATTTTATATGCTTTTTTTTATCAAAAATCAATAAAACCGTATTTTCGTTATACAGAAAGAAAAAGAAAATAACCAACAATCCTCTCTAATAATGAAGATTTCTTTGTGTAGATCGTCAAGAATGCTAGTACAATAAAACATGAATTGAGAACAGTAAAAAAAAAATCAAGCAGAAAAAATAATAAATCATTTAGTGACAATAAAAAATGGGATAGAAAATATATGTATATAATGGCTTAACACGCTAAACATTAAACACACACATACATTCTTAACTTGATAACTGTTTACAAAAAAAATAAATAAATCGATACAAACTAAAAAAATTTTTGTCTGTAGTGTATTGATGCATCTTCTTATTTAAAAATTGCGATCGATTTATAACGAAAGTTGTTTGTTGTCCGTCGTTTCATCGCATTTCATAATCAATCTAAAAAACTTTATTTTAACCAAAGATATCCTATATAAATTTAGAAAATAAAACTAAAGAAAATCTACATTAATATATTTCAAAAGAATTTAACCTTATCCGAGAAGCTAACAAATGAAAAGAAAAGATCGTTTTCTTTTCTTTCTCGAAGTCAAAATGAATCATCAAAAAAGAATAGAGGATCGAGTAGATAAAGCATTAAATAATTTTTTTCTATTTTAAATTTTATTGCATCACTTTCTTTTATTATATAATTTCAATTTCAATTTATATATACTAGTGCATAAATGTTTTGCTAAATATTCTGGAAAAAATGATTATAAGTACTACATTGAGTACTCATCTATCTGACTATAAGTAAATCTTTAAAGAAAAACATGTACAAGTATATGTATACATGAAAATCCTTGAGTACTCGAATGAGTAATATGAGCCCTCACGCTGGAAAGTCGTACTCGCTTGATAAATATTTTCATTCGGGAACTCTTTTCAAAAAAAAAAAAAAAAACTTTAAAACAATTAGGGATATGCTGAGTAGATGAACAGAAATTGATGAATTCGACAATCGAATCTAGAGTTGTGTAGATTGATAAAAGTGGATAACGTTATGTAAGCCTAGTTGACTTTTTTTTGTAAGAAAAGCTTAAGTGAATTCATGATATTACTTTTTTATGGAGAAGAATAATGCTTATTTCATTTCTCTCTTTTTTTCTTTTTTTGAAGAACAAACAATAATTTTGAAATGATGACTTTTTGTATAATGACTCGTAGCATCACTTTGAAGAGTAAAAAATGTCTTTCTCATTTAGAAAAAAAAATTTAGGAAATTCGTTTCATTTAAAAGCATCTACTAGATCTTTGGTAAATACTGTTCATCAGTAATGAACGTATTCTACTGCTTGAGTGTAATGATTTTCATCTTCTGCCATCCTTCCGAGAGCAGATATTCGTTATCCACTGATAATATCAGTAGAATTCTCGGAACGATCTCTTCTTTGCTAGTTACTTATGTATACTATAGGAAAATTTTTGCTCTTGGTTTACGTTCGTCGAGGAATGATAATTTCAATATGAACTGGTCTTGTTTTTGGAGTTCTTTAAGATCTAAGCACTTGTTCTTTTCTTTGTTTCAGTATCTCATAGATAACATATAATATCAATCTATATCAGTGTTCCTAGAACTGTTCTATGAGAGATTTAGGTACGATAAACATCTTGATTTCAACGAGACAAAAAGAACCGAGCAATCGGTGTCTTCAAAGTAGACAGAAAATAGTATATTTGTGGTAACTAGTAATATTGAATATAGAGTCATATCTGTATCATGTATTTGGTAGAAATTGAGCACAATCGATTCCCATTCTGTTCAAATGATTGTTTCAATTTAGTTTTTCGTCCTAAATGGAACATGTCGAATGAGATGTATTCTATTCAAAGATATAATTATGAATGTATGGACAAGTAAAATGATTATATTTAGTTCTGAAAGAACTCATTGCATGCTTTCTCTTTCGAATAAACATAATTAGTCAAACTCACCATCATCCTAAAGAATTTATTGTGTCTACTAAGTAAAATAAGTTCAGTCTTAATACTTAATGGAAATTATGACTTTCTTAGATAGTTTATAGACTGTCATCCTTATCAGAATTCACACTCAGATCAGTACCATTTCATAATATATGGTTACGACATCTCTACAATCGATTCATTATGATGTTTTAGATTTTATGCTAGCACCTATAGGAAGCTAGAAAATAACTAAATAATATTCAACAAATTGATCATTTTTTTGCATTGACACTGATTTCTATATCAATATACAGCGACAGATACATCTTTTAATTCACAATATTTTTCTTTTTATATAATTCTTACATATTGTCATTTATTTGTCAAAAAGAAAGAATCTGATATATAAATAAGCGAGGTAAATATTCATAAAACTACATATTTTATTTGCGATAGAAAATTTTACATTTATACTCTTGAAGAACGAAGGATGTATATGAGTTCGAGTATCATATTCATTCGTCACCCATCTCTCTCTACCGATATCCAACACACTACAGATCTAATATATGAAATAAACTGTCAGTATTTTTAATATTATTGATCAATCTATATTTTGATTAAGTGTTTGAGACAATGGAGTAATAAATGTTTTTCTTCTATAAAATAATCGAAATAGAATATGAATAATAAATGGAATAATAAGTGTTAATGTAATAGTCAATCCACTATATAAACTTAGAATAGTTGTTATAATATAAAATATATTAAAATATTGTATATAAGAATAAGTACAAAATGTTGGATAACATTGTTGAAAATATTTTTCATAAGAATAATCAATATACCATTGATCAACGAATAATCGATCAACCATATGTTCAACTTTTTCATCAATACCATATTGATTTATAGATGAAAGTATATTAAATGTAATGTTATCAGTTTGTACTTTAAAATATAATAAAATTAATTCTAAACATGTTTGATTATATAAACATTGAAGTGATGATTGTAACATTGATTCAAATGGATAACAACCAATAACTAAACCATCTATGATTGAATTATTAAGTATAACTTTTTCAGAACATTTTGATGATGTTCCACAATTACATGAATTATTATATGTAAGAGGATTTGTATAAAATGGAGAAAATCGTTTTCTTTCTAAAACAGTAAATTTCCAATTTGTTTGAAAAATTGTCATATAAAAATTTCCATGAATAACTTCATGAATCATATCTAATGTTCTTTTAAAAGTTTGTGATATTGATCTTTGAAATATATTAAGAATTGAATTAATTTGTTTTTGAAATGTTTCATTTAAATTTAATTGACCACTAATAAATTTTGTTGAATAAAATTGTGTTAAACCAATATTAATAGTTTCTTGTGTTAATTTACATAAAGATGCAAGAACTTGAAATTGAATTGATGCTGTTGCAAGAAAATTTCTATCATTTATTTTTTGCTTATTATATAAATAATCAAACCATTGTTGACTAATAAAATCTGATGTACAAACTTCATGATACGATACTTTAAGTTCAATAAATTCTTTATATTCAATTGAAATTCTATTACATGGACAAGTTAAAGTAGATTTATATTTTATTTCTAATTGTTGATATTGAGTTAAACTTGACAATTGTACATTAATATTTATGGATTTTTTATTTAATGAAGTATATAAAACTAATATAAATAATATAATAATGAAGATAACTAAATATAATCGAGTTGTCCAAATTTGTTTTCGAATTTTTTCATGATTAGTTGAACGATCTTGAAATAAATTTAAGTTCAACAATTTTGTTTTAGTTGTTTGAAAGAATAGATATATTCGATTTGATATTGAAATAGCTGAAAATAAAATAAAAAAAAAAAGTAAAACAAATCGAAAATTAAAGCTAGTAGAATTAATTATATATTGAAAAAAATTCAATCTAACATTATCTATTCATCGAATTCGAATACAAATTATAAAGCTGAAAATCAACGGCAACAGATTTGTCGTTTAACTTACATCTCTAATTACAACTTGATTAATCATTCTTAACACATTGGGCACGATGTGGCCCACCGGTGGGCCACGCTATGGTTTTACGAGTAACTGTATAGAAGAACACTTTCTTTTGATTTTTTCTTAGGCACGAGGTTATAAACATGAAGTGTCAGTTGTTCTGTGTTCAGTGCTTTATTTGCGTCCTTTATTCCATAGGATAATGCTTGTCATTAAAACACTCTAGACAAAAAAACTTATCACAGTCAGAACAAAAAGTTTTCACTTTCTTTGCTGCCGCATAGCTTGCTTCTCTTGACTGTTGTGCCTTTCCCTTCGCATAGCAGCTAGTACATCGTCTGTCAACATTGCGCGTAGATCCTTCCTTTTCTTCGAGCTTGTGATCAGCGAGTTTGCGCTTGGAATGACTTGCTGATTGTTGTATCGGACCAGGTTTTAGCTTCTCGATTGGCGCACCAAGGAGTAAAGATCGTACAAGACTTTCTCGAAACTGTAAAATCTGTATGTTGCTCGCCGCATAATTTTCCTTGTAAATCAGATAACTATTAACCACTGCAGTTCCAAATACCAATTCAAATGCCACCTTTTTATACCATTTTATTGACCGTCTCAGGCATGTGTGGTATGTTGATAGTTGATCTGATAAATCAGTACCTTGTCTGCCTTCATTGTAATCGAGAACAACTTGCGGCTTCATGATGCGTTCATTCAGTTTATTGATTTTTCCGGTGTTCACCACAGTTGCTGAATGAAATGGTTTAGTAGATATCATCAGAACGTCTCTTTTATCTTTCCACTTGATCAATTTTACACCGATTTTGTTCTGGAGCCCATAAACCTCACCAGGCTTGAGCTTTTTCTGAACAACTTCATATCCTGATCCAGTACGATTACTTCTCAATGTTCCAATAAGATACGTATCCTGTTCCAACAAACGTTTTGCTAGAGAAATACTAGTAAAGAAGTTGTCAGCCACCACGGTTCGATAACATCCCGAAAGACCATTCAATAGATTCATTACGACTGCTTCAGCATGTCCACGACCTGCCATAGGATCTTGCTGACCAGTATAGATCACATAATTCCAGGTGTATCCATTGGTAGCCGCTAGCTTGTATATCTTTACGCCGTACTTGTGTGCTTTTCCAGGGATGTATTGTTTGAACAAAAGTCTGCCTCGCCATGGTACCATACTTTCGTCGATGCTAATAACTGAGCCAGGCATATATACTGATGAAAACCTCTCTTTGAGTAAATCTGAGAGTGGTTTCAACTTGAACAGCCTGTCGTGGTCCGAATTCTTGTTATTGTTGTTTGTAAAATGCCAAAATTTGAGGAGTAATTCAAACCTCTCTCTCGACATGGCATTTCGTATGATCTCTGATCCGTACAATTGACTACTGCTCCAGTAGTATTTCAGTTTCGGCATTTGTACCAATCCCATCTCGATAATGATTCCAAAGAACTTCAGCATCTCTTCATCGGTGGTTGGTTTCCATTGACGAAATTTTGACCGTCTGCTAATCTCATGAGTTTGCAAATATTGTTCCGCATAGCGATTAGTTTCACGAACCATAAGGTCAATAATTTCGTCCGTAATGAAATGCCGATAGCAATCGATAGGGTCGATTGTATTGTCTCCTGAAGTCGAAGTTACTTCTTCGACGAGACCATGATCTTCCATAAATTCATCATCCGATTCTGGTTTTATTTCATTCCAGACGTTTGAATCGACCTCGTCATTTGTCACTTCTTCGTCGGAGCTTTCAGATTCCAGATGTATTCTATCGAAATCATCATCCAAAGAACTCACTTCACTTCGTGAGCTAACGCTTTCTTCTGAATCGGTTTCTTCGAACGACATGTGTACTATTCCAAAAATTCACTCGTCTTTATATAGTAAAACAACACATGGATAAGAATAACAGAGAAAAGCCTGGAATTTTCCTCCTTCTTCTCACATATGTTATATATAACATGAAAAAGAACGAAAAATTGACTCAGGCAATTCTAGTTACTCGCGAAAAATGATTCATTATGTAGTAATACAAGAAAGAGAACGATAAATAATCAGTAGAAGATAACGAAAGGGTCATTAAGTGCATTTATTAGAAGTGAACTATTCATAAAAATGACATCTTGCAGAAATTTCATACGAAAACTGAATCGTGCCCAATGTGTTAAAAAAAAGTGTTTCATGTCTTCAGAACGATTATCACATTAAAATACGAACATTTTCCTAAATCAAAGAAATACAGTGGATTCTCAAGCTTAAAAGTGTTGAACTCTATGTACGATAGATTGTCTGCTAGTTGAACGCAAGATTGCTCAATCTAAAATGTGTTTTATTTTCGATCTTAACCAAGACAGACATATGCAGAACTGTAAGCCGATGTGTTGGACTGGTAGAAAAAAACTTATTTTTTCTTAGTATTGCTAATTGAAAGATTCTAATGATTTTAAGTTAGATAAGAAGATTCTTTAAAAGGGTGATGTTTGGTGTCGAAAATTTTCTAAAACTAAATGTATTTTACTGTAGCAGAGTTGTTCATCGCAACAAAATATCTTCCATTGCCATGACGCGATGAACATATGTAACTATAGAAGACTATATAAACTATTGTACCTTTCTGATCTTTTTATAAGAAAAACTTTATTTGCTGCTGTGAAATTTTTTTTTTATCTTTCTATGATTTGTATCTTTCATCTAATAAAATAAAAGTAAGTGTGTCTGTTTCATGGTTATTTCAAGACAGAGAACTTATTGTAGTTCCGATATCAGTAAATTTTATATCACTTTCAATGTATTCTAAGGTCTGATACATTCTACTGAAAACTTACAAATTCATGGTTTTTTTTTTTTCTTCTGTTAATTTTCATATTCCTAAAGCTTGCAAATATTCTTTATCAAAATGAATACCTGGTTGTTGATTTTTTTGTCGTCTAATTAAATTAACAATATTTTGAACTAAAAAACGTATAACAATTGTTAATCCAGCATATACACTAAGTAATCTTGTTAATATATATATATAATTAGGTTTTACTTGAATAGTATACGAACAAAATAATGGTTTACATTGTTTATAATAATTATCATAAGAATAAAATTCATTCCAATTTTCAATAAAAAGATTGTCAACAATTATTTCAATTGTTTCATTTCTTTTATATTGACTTATTTCAGAAGCATTTAATATACTTAATTGTTGATATAATTCTGTAGACTGTATAACATACGATTTAATTATATTTATACATGTTTCATCAAAGAAACATTCTGTAGTTGATCTTAATAATGAATCTACCATATAACAACCGATATACATACCTATGATATAGTCTAATTTACCATCATTACAAAATGCAATATTTTCATGACACATTGAATTAGTTCCACATGTACAATTATTATGTTCTACTATATTTGAATACATTTCAGTAATATTTCCGATGAATTGTGCATGAAAAATAACATTTGTTCGTCTTACAGTTGCTAATTGATTATTAAAAATAACACTTTGTATTAAATTCCATTGTCCTCTAAATGAACTTTGTGTTCTTATTTTAAATAATTCAATAATTGATATCACTTCATTATTAAATTGATTTTCTAAAACAATATCTGATGTAATATATTCTAATGCATAAAATTGAATTAGACTATTTAATATTGTTTTATTTGCTGATTGACAAAATGTAGACAAGAGAGAAAAATAATAAAATGCTAAATTTGCAAATGATGGAAAAATACAAGGTTCAGAAATATTCCAAATTTCATAACCATTGTACCATAAATTCGTAACAAATACACTTGAACATAACTGATGATATGTAGCATCAAAATTAATAAATTCTGAATATTTAATAGCAACTTTACTACATGGACATTGAAGATCATTGACTGACTGATTTTTTAACTGTTCAAATTGAATTCGTATTGGATTATAAATAAACATTGTTTTTGATAATTTTTCTGATGATATATAAATACAAAAAACAATCAACGAGATTGTTAGAATAAGAAAATAAAGTCTTGTTGATATCCTTCCATTTCTTTGTTTATGTTCGTTCGATGTATGACTATTGAATATGTTCAATGTAACAATTGATGTTATGATGAAACGGTATAGCTTATACAAGCGATTCCTTTTCGATACTAAAAAAATAAATATTCATTAAAAAATATATTGACCTTTTTTTTTTTCAGATTTCTCGAAGCAGAAATTTACGGATGATTTTGTGACTCCTAAGAACAAAATTTGAAACTGATAGTTCTAGTACTAATACGACACAATTGAGAATAAATGAATATATGTATATGATATGTCTTAAAATTTGAAGTAATAAAATCATTATTACTCACGAGGGAACACATCCAACTGTCCAATCGCTTTTTTAATAAAAA